GTACTATATACATGAAGGTTTAGTTAGGTGATTGATTGAAGTACTATGTACATGTAGATAGGGGGTCAAAACTCACACACAGCTATAACCTGCCCATACAAACTATAGCGAACCAACTCCTAACGGAAAAACAACCGACAACCCATCCATGAATGATAGACTACAGGCTACAGAACCAACCCCATCCATTAATGATAGACTACAGGCTACAGAACCGACCCCATCCATGAATGATAGACTACAGGCTACAGAACTGACCCCACCCATGAATGATAGACTACAGGCTACAGAACCAACCCCACCCATGAATGATAGACTACAGGCTACAGAACCAACCCCATCCATGAATGATAGACTACAGGCTACAGCACCAACCACATCCATGAATGATAGACTACAGGCTACAGAACCGACCCCATCCATGAATGATAGACTACAGGCTACAGAACCGATGACTTCAGCTTTCATTTGAAAGAGGAGTGAAAGAAGAACAGACACACCATTGGTTGGTTCGGCGGCGGCCCGGACCAGACAGGTTAGTGCAGTCAGTGGCCATATATCTCTAAATCATCTGTGAGCAGCGGGCCAACACAAAGCACACACTGATCACATTTTCCTCCAGCCTGCCTCTACTCTCTTCTCCATTCCAGCTCCAACACCTGCTTAGACAATTAGCCCAGTAAGGCAGCCATGTGTGGAAAAGAGTGGCTAATAGTTACGTTTATACCTGTAACACGTTTAACGTCCTCAGAGTTTAGTTCCTATCTTGTTCCTAAGAGAGTATATTTCCTCAAAAATACTGGGGCAACTTCCTGCTTACAGAAAACGGCAAAATTGACATCTACCCACCAATAGTGATGGGGAAAAAATCGATACAGTTGCATATCGGGATATCATTTTTTATGATATATCGTATCGTATTCGTTTCGACAATGTCACAATATTATTTTTGCGCTAGTTCGCTGTACCTGCACCAAAACTCCAGTATTTTTTCTTCATAGCTTGTTCTCCATCTTTCTTTATAAATGGGGAGCTAATTTGTTTTCAGCACTTTTATTTCCACGACTGATCAAATCTCGTTTTCTCATGGCTCTCTCTTGTCCCTCTGCAGCAGACATATGGGGAGCAATATGTTTGGAACATCGAATCGCAATAATGTCACAGTATCGAATCGCAATACATATAGAATTGTGAGAATCGCAATACATATCGTATCGGCACCTGAGTATTGTGATAATACCGTATTGTGATGTCCCTGGCCATTCCCAGCCCCCTACCTACCAAGAGTACCTGTATTGGCTTTTACCAATATGGACATGCTTCAAAACCGTCAAATCAATAGTTTGTAATGTTGACATGGTTCAACACACTGACGCTATGTCAGAGAATGTGCTGATGTGGATGCGGTGGTGGAGTCAATCGCAGGACACAGAGGATCAGTCAAAGCGACTTTACTAAACTTGTAAAGAGACACAAAAAAGAAACGGCCTCAAAACACAGGAGACGAACAAATACGCGCAGTGCGTAAAACACTAAACTACGACAAGGCACCGAACCTACAACACACGACATGTGGAACAATAACACACAACTACAAAACAAAACACAGGGAAACTTATAGGTGACATAATCAGGACAGAATACGAAACAGGTGCACTAAACTAGACATGACCAAACAAACATCGAAAACATCAAACGGTGGCAGCTAGTACTCCGGGGACGACGAACGCCGAAGCCTGCCCGAACAAGGAGGAGGAGCAGCCTCGGCGGTATTCATGACACGCTAGATAGTTAATAAGACATAAAAATCAGATCCTTTTACACACCTTGTCAAGACATAAGACTATAAGGACAGCGTTGTAATCAATGTCTGCACTGCATGTGTTTGCTCTGTAATAAACCCTGATTGATTTTACAGCACTGTGATTGTCAGTCATTCATTTACGGTGGCCTGGTCTATTAGCTATCCTCTGTGATCTTTATTGACTTCATTTCCTGTCCACAGAATGTCTCACACATGTTTACTGGTGATCGCTAATTGGTCGTCATAGCGATCCTAAGAGCAATCACATCTTCTGCCAGCAGCACTTCTGGGGCCAAATGTCACAGGCTGTGGCCCAATTGGCACCCGATGGTAGGGAACAGGTTGCCATTTGGTCCACAGACACAGTCAGAAAGATGTGTTGTGCCAAGGTAGTTCACTGACTAGTAATGCTGTATTCTTCACCAATAAAGGTCCTCTAACTAACACCACTGGATCCTTGTGTATAGGGATTACTATTGCCGTACACATATTCTACTCTACTCTCAATATTTTACACTTCAGTAGCTTCATATTAGAAGACAGCACAATGATCGCATTGTTCATTGTGTTACAATTGTACTTTGATGGTGGTGAGTTGCAATAGAGACAACATATTCGTCTCAATTCCATGATATTACTCAAAATAACAAATATGCTTCACGGATTAGGTTTGCTGGCCTCGTTTCAACAGCTGCATTTTAGAGCACTTTTGTCTGCCTTGGGAGAGCTATGCTGCAAGAGTTTGGCAAAATGGCAAAACCCCAATAACTGGATGGCAAACGCTTTTTTTCTGAGCCTGGATCCTCGATCACTACACTACAACCAACACCATCATATTAGAAGGGATTTCACTCTGACTTTGGACAAGATTGGACTTTCTTTTCTGGCTGTCCATTAGTGCGCAATTTGCTTACAAATAGCCAGACTGCAATCAACAAACCCAAGGCTATTAAAGTTAAAGTGGAAATGATTACAGGTGAAGAAATTATCCAGTGCAGCTCTCGTCTCCATCCCAAATGGTACCCTATTCCCTTTATAGTGCACTGATTTTAACCTGAGCCCTGTAGGGAAGGCATTAGGATGCCATTTGGGACCGCAGCCCTAGTCTGTTTCTGCCCAGGCCGCCACAGCACCGCTAGCTTGCAGCTAGAGAGCTCTGATGGAAACCAACCGCCTTCCAATGTGCGAACGGGGCCCCGCTTGGAACAAACAAAATAATTTGCTCTTCTCCTTGTTTCTAAACAGAGAAAATGAGCCCAAATGCCTCTATAATTACGTTTATTTAATTTAATTTGATTTACATTCAAACAAAGAACACCCACATCAGGTTGAACCTGGCCTCAAACCAGCTTTGTGAGAGTCTTAATGCTAATCAGCTAAATGCTAACCCTTCACTTGGAGTGTATGGTTAAATGCAAAAATAGCTGGCTAGCTGTCGATACACGCAGGCTCCGTATTTGGGCTTAGTGCTTGACCATAACTGAGGAGCAAAACAAAGAAAAAGCTGGACTTAGAGAATGATTAACTACATCTATTAGACAGTCATTGGGCTACTTGTTCTGTCCTCTCTCAATCCCGGATTAGGTTCAACTAGCAATAGTTAGCTATCATTAAGATGTACTGCCCAAGATGAAACCCAGTGAGGAAAAGGGGGATCACATATTTCTAGTGCTCCGAGTCTTCTGACCTGGAGGCACACGTCTAACAGTCTGTTTTTTAAGATACCAAGACATTCCTGATGCTCACATCAAATGATGGGGCTATTGTCTCGTCAGCTAGCATAGCATAGCATACTGCTCATAGTTTCCATAGGCCTCACAGCTACCTGTCTGTAGTAAAGCTGGGTTAACAGCTGAGGAGTATTATCAGTCGTCTATTATCAGTTGACAGCTATACAGGTCAATTTGCGGATATCATTACATAATTCCTGAATGCCTCCAAGCTATATCATGGCATTATTATTTATTATTTCTTGAAGCTGGGTTTACTGCTAAGGTACATTGTCAGACCTTCGGTATTATCAAGTGTAATGCGAGCTGTACTGGTCAATTTGCTCTTTAATATATGTTAGAAATGGATTTCATGAAAATACTTTGTGGATGCCTCAGAGCTACATTGTTCAGGCCATAATCGTCTCATAATTCCACCAATTAAATTCAGAATTCCTATTTCTTGGCTTTCTGAAGGTTTTACACCGCATGAATCCCCCACTCCCCACCCCCACCCCTACCCCCCCACCCCCCCCCCCCCACCCCCCACCCCCCCACCCCCCCCCCCCTACCCCCCACCCCCCCACCCCCTACCCCCCACCCCCCACCCCCACCCCCCACCACTACCCCCCACCCCCCCCCCACCACTACCCCCCACCCCCCACCCCCCCACCCATATCCCATAACCCTTGTCCTCCGATGACTCAAAACAAGGAAATTGTAGTAAAGTGACAGTTTACTCACTGACCGCTATTTCACACGTCACAAACAACCTCCACATCAACAAATCAAGCTAGAAACAGAAGTTCTAGAAGTGATCCTTATACTCCCTCATATAACGGTCTGATTTAAAACTCCAGACAGTTGATCTCTTCCACTCTTAAGGGAAAAAAACCCTCACTTGAAGTAACACACAACTGCCATTTTCCCTTGACACAGTCCAGGGCTCTACCCAAGCGCAGAAAGCCAAGTACTCTTGTTATATGGTCTATAAAACTTTTCACCATTTATGAAAGAATCGTATGAAAGGCAAATAAAGAGGCAGGTTTCTGAAGACAAAATTAACTTTACGACTCCTAACATTACTCACTGCCAGTAGGCTCCAATGCATGTTGGCTGAAGGTATCATTGAGACCTGTTATAAAACATAATCTGTCCAACTGAATCGGCAAAAACGTCAGCAGCAGTGGATTCTGTGGTTGTCACGACAGACAACTCCACATCTACATGAGCATGAGCATGAAGCTAATGTGTAATCTCTTGTCAAGATCAAGAGAAACAGATCATCCATCCTTTATGTATACAGGTGATCCAATCTATTTTACAAGAGAGACCTGTCCCAATGATTTGTTGCATACCATAGGTACATACATAAAAATCCCCTAAACAGCAATGGCCAATGTCCTCCTCACCTCAAAGACCTATCCCAAGAAGGAAGAAATTCAAGATTCATTGCAGTACATACAATACGTAAAACCACAGAGCGTTTAGACGTTGCGCCGCAAAATGGCTGCCGTGCCATCTGCGAATACAGTGTCATAGTAAGCAATGGTCATTGTCCTTACCTCAAAGACTTCTTCATCCAGAATCCTGGTTCCGAACACGGTGATGCCGTCAGTGTTGATGGCTGCCCCGTCACTCCTCTTCAGGGGCCTGCTCAGCTTCTTCTTACAATCCACGATGATGGTCACACTCTTCTTCTCTACACTGATGGCCACGCGATGCCATCTACACATGGACAGAGGAGGGAGTGGGTTAGAGAAACATGACAGATTTGGGGAGAACATGAAACGTATGAAGTGTATTTGTTGCTTGTTGAACGCTACAACCCGAGCACAGGTTGGACAATTTGCAGATCTATAGTCTGGTATAGTTAGCCAGAGATGATCTACAGTCTGGTATAATCAGAGATGATCAACAGTCTGGTATAGTCAGAGATGATCTACAGTCTGGTATAGTCAGAGATGATCTACAGTCTGGTATAGTCAGAGAGATGCCAAGAGATTTGAATCTTAAAACTAGATGGTTCTTGATGAAGATAATTTGTTATTCTCAGAAAGATCACTAGCTAGATAAATAATATAATGATAAAACTCCTCTACTTTACAAGGTCTGGAAAACAGATAAATCAATTACAGACATTCAAGTCACATACCAACGCTACGTTTCATGTTGCTGTAGACAACTGCACCAGACACGTTTTCGCAAAATGTTTCATATTAGCAAAGACTTCACTGTCAGAATATTAATTTTACAGTTAAGTAATTTATGAAGCTCTGTTATTTTGATGGTTTATTGCAAATCAACAGTGCAGGCAGCTGTAAATAATTTGGTATAAACAGTCTGTCATCAAAATGCTGCCAAACAAATAATTGAGTAACTCAAAAGACAGCTGTCTCGCAAAGTTATATTCCTTATGTTATCAATCACTAAACAATGAAGCATATAAATCGAATAATTGTGCATTTTTAGTGGTTTGTTTGGATCTGCTGAGCAGCCTTGAATACATTATTGAGAATCCAGAAGACTCAGATCTGGTCATCCATCTCGTAAAACATGGCTTGTGTGGAGTGTGTCTACAGTACGAACACAGTAAGGCCACAGACCCTCTCAGAATCATCTTACTTCACGCCATGTGTAGCGGACACGAGTCGGTACTTTCAAAACCAGTGTCTGCCTGGCCCTTGGCTCACGAGAGAATTTCCTCTTAGTCTAAATGGTTTAAGACATTGGAGACCATTGGTTTATACCCCACAGTGTTACTATTAGTGCCCAACGTGGGGAAGTCTCTCATGGGGGGAGGAGGCCAGAGGGAGGTGAATGTAGCGGACATGAGGCAGTCACGGTTCACATGATGAGGCAGCCCCACCTGCAAACTTCAAAACCAATTTACCTGCCTTCTGCCCAAGAGGGAATTTCCTCTTGGTCTAAGACGTTGCTTGCTCCCGTGGGAGACCCGGGTTCATATCCCGTGTGTTACAAATGTACAGTACTCCTTGTTCAACATCACTGCATAGTGAAAGGCCGAACTTCAGTTACTTGCCAGAGGAAAGAGAAACCCTAATGCTAACCAAACAGCACCTTACCTGAACCCAAACCTTGTCCGTAAAAGAAAAGGCCTTGCTTTGTTTCTCAGGTGTCTCAGACTTCACTTACTTGCCGTCAGCGAGGTTGATAGATCTGAACAGTGGGTACTCCTCTGGCGCAGGTTTCCCATGTTGGTCTTCGTACAGGAAGACAGGGGAGCGTCCCACCTCCACACCCAGCTGCTGTACCCCCTTCTCGTTATACACAGACAGCAGGAAGGACTGGCTGCCCGTCTTGGGCTTGATGGTGAACATCACTGAGAAGTCCTCTGGGAACACTCCTCCTGGTGAGGGAAAACAAGAAGACTTTCATTATTCATTTGATTGGTTCTGTTTGTTTGGATCCCATTAGCTGTTGCATTTTCAAACTCCTGGATAATCATCAACGTGTAGGGTCAGGAGTGAAGGTAGCAGAAGAGTTAGATTAGAGGTGGGTGCAGTAATATGACATCATCATATATGCTGAGAGACTTCCTGAGAAGTCCTCTGGGAACCCCCTCCTGGGATAGACAGGACAGGTTAGCTACAGTAGCGTAGCAATATGACGTCATGATAGACAGAAGAGATAGAGAGGTTAGAGGTGGACGCAGTAATATGACATCATCAAACACAGGATCGTTAGAGAGGTTAAAGGTGGACGCAGTAATATGACATCATCAAACACAGGATCGTTAGAGAGGTTAAAGGTGGACGCAGTAATATGACATCATCAAACACAGGATCGTTAGAGAGGTTAAAGGTGGACGCAGTAATATGACATCATCAAACACAGGATCGTTAGAGAGGTTAAAGGTGGACGCAGTAATATGACATCATCAAACACAGGATCGTTAGAGAGGTTAAAGGTGGACGTGGTAATATGACATCATTATACACAGAAGTGTCATGCCGCGTTCAAAACAACTGGGAACTCGGAATAATACGAGATCAAATCATGATGTCGGTTATCTTCAGGTCGGAAAAGTCGGAGCTCTAGAAAGAGGCCCGAGTTCCCGAGTTGAAATTCCGAGTTGGATGGCAGTTTAAATCGATTTTTCCCAGTCGGAGCTAGTTTTTTTCTGAGTTCCCAGTTGTTTTGAACTCACCATCAGAGAGGATAGAGGTGGATGCGGTAATATGACATCATCATATATTCTGGGAGACTTCCTGCTTATATACAGTACATCAACAATAACAGAATTCAAGGCTTGTCGTTATTTCCACCCATCCTTGAGGCATGCCCACATTAAAATGATGATGTCCATCTCATGGACTGTTAGCTCTTTCATCCATAGATTTGTCTACTTACTTGACAGGGGTTATTTCCCCCAGCTCCATCCCTTAGCTTACCAGACAGGCTGGTAAAATGACAGATTGTACCTTTAATTGTCCCGCGTAGCTCAGTTGGTAGAGCATGGCATTTGCAACGCCAGGGTTGTGGGTTCGTTTCCCACGGGGAACCAGTATGAAAAAATAAAAATAAATAATGCACTCGCTCTGGATAAGCACGTCTGCTAAATGACTAAAATAAATAAAATAACAATAATTGTATCACATATATTAGATAAATATAACTTGACCCCAGATGAAATGAGGCTGTTGTTGCCGGATACTTTAAGAACTTATATCAACAGCTGGCTAATCTTGAAAGAGTCAGAAGTGATCTAATCGCACATACATTATACAAGACATGTGAAAGAGAACATTCCTAACAAATGTAGTTCTTTAACCATCCATTAATAGAGTTCACTGATGAAAAAAATAAATTATAGTCTACTGGTGATGATATCAAAGCTGAAATGTTCTCGCTCTTTGGCAGAATGCTACCATTGCCAATCTAATGGGATACTCCATTCCACCCACTCCATTCAATCCTATTTTAGCCTATTTGACAGAAATTTACAGTCTTTAAAACCAGTAAGGTTTTCAGGCAATTATTTACAGCAAGAAATCACAGAAAATCTAATAGTTAATTTAATCTCTTGCTATTTTCAGCTTTTATTTTTCCTTTGCTGTCTGGCCAATTCGGCACCAACACTCACTCACTGGGAAAATGACTTTAACAAGCATCTGTTCCTAGTAAAGTTGTATACAGTACAGTATCCTGCCATTATGGGGCAAGTAGGCAACTAGCATCTTTAACTGTCTATCGACCAGCTTCTAACATTAACTCCCGGGTAGATTTTGACATTGATGGCAATTCCCGAGTGACGCAGTGGTCTAAGGCACTGCATCGCTGCCACTAGAGATCCTGGTTCGAATCCAGGCTCTGTTGTAGCTGGCCGCGACCGGGAGACCCATGGGGCCGGCGCACAATTGGCCCAGCTTCGTCCAGGGTAGGGGAAGGAATGGCCGGCAGGGATGCAGCTCAGTTGGTAGAGCATGGGGGGCCAGTTAAAAAAAAAAGAATCTGTATGCAACGCCAGGGTTGTGGGTTCGATTCCCACGTGGGGCCACTATGAAAATGTATCCACTCACTAACTGTAAGTCACTCTGGATAAGAGCGTCTGCTAAATGACTAAAATGTAAAATTCACTTGCATTTGTGAATAAAAATAGTCAAGTATTATCACAAAGTAAATGCTGTTTTCAACATATTTCTGCCATTTTGTTTTATAGCTGGCAAATGCATCGTACAATGTCAAAGAACTACAAATCCTATATAATACTTCAACTACCTCAACTAGCCGGTGCCCCCGCACATTGACTCTGCACCGGTACCCCCTGTATATATAGCCTCCATACTGTTATTTAATTTTACTTACTTTTTTCTCAACACTTTTTTTGTTGTTGTTTTATTTTACTTTTTTATTAAAAATAAATGCACTGTTGGTTAAGGGCTGTAAGTAAGCATTTCACTGTAATGTCTGCACCTGTTGTATTCAGCGCATGTGGCCAATACAATTTGATTTGATTTGATTTGATTTAATATATATATATACACAGTACCAGTCAAAAGTTTGGACACACCTACTCATTCAATAGTTTTTCTTTATTTTTTACTATTTTCTACATTGTAGAATAATAGTGAAGACATCAAAACTATGAAATAACACATATGGAATCATGTAGTAACCAAAAAACGTGATAAACGAATCAAAATATATTTTATATTTGAGATTCTTCAAAGTAGCCACTCTTCGCCATTGATGACAGTTTTGCACACTCTTGGCATTCTCTCAACCAGCTTCATGAGGTAGTCACCTGGAATGCATTTAAATTAACAGGTGTGCCTTCTTAAAAGTTAATTTGTTACATTTATTTTCTTCTTAATAAGTTTGAGCAATCAGTTGTGTTGTGACAAGGTAGGGGTGGTATACAGAAGATAGCCCTATTTGGTAAAATACCAAGTCCGTATTATGGCAAGAACAGCTAAAATAAGCAAAGAGAAACAACAGTCTATCATTACTTTAAGACATGACGATCAGTCAATCCGGAACATTTCAAGAACTTTTAAAGTTTCTTCAAGTGCAGTTGCAAAAACCATCAAGCGCTATGATGAAACTGGCTCTCATGAGGACCGCCACAGGAAAGGAAGACCCAGAGTTACCTCTGCTGCAGAGGATAAGTTCATCAGAGTTAACTGCACCTCAGATTGCAGCCCAAATAAATACTTCACAGAGTTCAAGTAACAGACACATCTCAACATCAACTGTTCAGAGGAGACTGCGTGAATCAGGCCTTCATGGTCGAATTGCTGCAAAGAAACCACTACTAAAGGACACCAATAATAAGAAGAGACTTGCTTGGGCCAAGAAACACGAGCAATGGACATTAGACCGGTGGAAATCTGTCCTTTGGTCTGATGAGTCCAAATTATAGATATTTTTGGTTCCAACAGCCGTGTCTTTGTGAGACGCAGAGTAGGTGAACGGATGATATCCGCAAGTGTGGTTCCCACCGTCAAGCATGGAAGAGGAGGTGTGATGGTGTGGGGGTGCTTTACTGGTCAGTGATTTATTTAGAATTCAAGGCACACTTAACCACAGTATTCTGCAGCGATACGCCATCCCATCTGGTTTGCGCTTAGTGGGACTATCATTTGTTTTTCAACTGGACGCAAAACACACCTCCAGGCTCTGTAAGGGCTATTTGACCAAGGAGAGTGATGGAGTGCTGCATCAGATGACCTGGCCTCCACAATCACCCGACCTCGACCCAATTGAGATGGTTTGGGATGAGCTGGACCGCAGAGTGAAGGAAAATCAGCCAACAAGTGCTCAGCATATATGGGAACTCCTTCAAGACTGTTGGAAAAGCATTCCTCATGAAGCTGGTTCAGAGAATACCAAGAGTGTGCAAAGCTGTCATCAAGGCAAAGGGTGGCTACTTTTTTGATTTGTTTAAACCTTTTTTTTGGATACTACATGATTCCATATGTGGTATTTCATAGTTATTCCACATTGTAGAAAATAGTAAAAACAAAGAAAAACCCTGGAATGAGTAGGTGTGTCCAAACTTTTGACTGGTATTGTGTATATAGCCTATCTCACCTCCCTCCATATTTCTAACATTACACATTAAATATTACTTCTTACTAGTCATTCATTTATTGTTTTAGAAACTTTACAAAGCATGTTCATCCATTTTTGTGTTTGTGTTATGTTTGTAATTTTGTAATCTTTATTTTATTTGGCAGGTTAAAAAAATCTGAGTGGCTGGTAAAAATTTTAATCTATCTGCCAAAGTGGCTGGTGGACCAAAAAGTTAGTTTCAGGCCATGCACATGACTCTAATGGAAAATAACCAATTTGTCCTTAATTTATCCTTCTAGCTAATAAATACTCTGTTGTTGCCCAACATTTCCCTATACTGTAGTCCAGCGTTTCCCAAACTCGGTCCTGTGGACCCCAAAGGGTGCACAGTTTGGTTTTTGCCCTAGCACTACACAGCTGATTCAAAAATATTCAAAGCTGGATGTTGAGTTGATTTTGGGAAACGCTGGTATAGACCCTATGCTTTTGTATTTGCAAAATAAAATATTTTCCTACATTAAACATCTCAATTACACCAAAGGGCCTTTCACCTTTTTATACCTGCTGTAAACTGTGTATGTGATTAATAAAATGCGATCTGATTTGAAGGGATGGAACTGATAAATATCCCTGATCATATCTATCATCAACAGGTTAAAAGTACTATTACAACCTAATGGCCACGTTCCTTTATTCCTGTTGTTTAGTACTATGGAGTAACTGGGACAACAGTCAGCAGTTTAGGACAGTAGCTATGGAAACAACTATGAAATAGCTTTTCTGTCTCTCCAAATGGATTCTG